ACCCAGTGGGGCTTGGGGACTCAGGAGGAGGAAAGGGAGAGGCTGTGCTGGAGGGGCTGGGGAGAGGAACCGAGCCCGGCTCGCATCTCCCTGGGGAGCTGGTGGGTGGCTGGTGTGAGGAGGAGGAGGAGGAGGCAGGTGCCACCATACACAGCCACCAAGCGTGGCACAGCTAATGGGGCTGGCAGGGGACATCCTCTACCGATGGGGCACCGGTTTGGGCCAGGGTTTGGCCAGCTGGGGTGCGGGGTGCTGTCCCAACACGCAGGAGCTGCTCGACCCTCTCCCAGGGCTGGCTGGAGAGAGTGGCTCTCCGGGGGCGTTCGTTCCCCCTGTGGGGCCGCTGTCCTCCTCCGGCCACCCCCTGTGGACCTTTGCTTTGCAGGGAGCTTTCTGGGGCCTGATGGTGGGGCTGACGCTGGGGCTGGCCAGGATGGGGCTGGAGCTGGCGCACCCCGTGCCCCGCTGCGGGGTCCCCGACCGGCGGCCCTGGCTGCTCGCTGACATCCACTACCTGCACTTCGCCGTGCTGCTCTGCGCTGCCACGGGTGCCGTCGTGGTGGGGGGCAGCCTGCTGACCCCCCCGCCACCTCCGGCACGGGTGAGCAGGGCACCCGGGACCCCTCACCCCAGTCCCCCCCCCGGCTACCTCCACCCACCGGACCTCCTTGGCCAGAGACACTGGTGTCACCCAGGTGTACCCCAAGCTCAGGCAAGGGGGGTCCCCATGGGGGGGCGTCTGGCCTGGGGGTGTTTTCTCACTGAATCTCGCCCTGGTTTCCAGCTAAAGGATCTCACCTGGTGGACCCTCTCGCAGGAGTCCCCCCAGCCCTCTGTGGACATCCCATCCCAGGGACACCTCGAGGGTGAGTGTGTCCTTGGGGGTGTCTAGCAGGGGTGACAACTTCAGTGCCCCCCCTCCCTGCCTGTAACAGGCAGCAGGACAGCATGGATGCCCTGTGCCTCAGTTTACCCGGGGACACGCCACCCACCAGGAGGTGGCCGGTCCCCACGGCATCCTGTCCCCGACGCTCGCCATCTTTCTGTGCCAGGTTCCTGCTCAGCCATCCCGGGGACCCAGCAGCCAGCAAAGCCCGAGGGATCCCCATCCACAGCCCTCAGGGATGCCATGGAGTCCCCCTTCTGGGCTCGCGTCTGTGGCATCAACGCTGTTGTCCTGATGTGCATCAATATTTTCTGCTATGCCTATTTTGCCTAGCGGCCTGCCAGCCCCCGGGCGAGGGGGAAAGGTGCCGGGGGGGTGGGCAGAAAAGGGGATTGGGGTGATAGTTTTTATTTGTCACATTTGGGACATGGGATGTTTAAATGGGGGCTGCAGGGGAAGCGAAACCACAGCAAAGCAGCAGGCGCGCAAATGCGGCCGTGGGACCACTGTGGCGGCGGTGGAAAAGGAGCGGCCACACTCAAGGGTGTCAACCAAATACATTTTACTAGCTCTAAATAAAAAATAATTAAAGAAAAAATAAAAAAAGCCACAATTTGCAGCTATGAACAGCACCTGCAGGACTGAATCCCAGGACCGGCCTGCCCCGGCACCCCTCTGCGGCATTACCCGGCCACATCCCGGACGCCTGCAGCCCTCCTTGGAGCTGGGGCTTCACTTACAGGGTCTGGAGAGGAACGAAGGTTTGGGGCACTGTTGTTCTCCCCCTCTGTTGCTGCCACTCCAGCAGGTTCTGGCGCTGGAAAAGTTTTTATGGCCCTGGTTCAATGCTCTGTGCTCCCTCCTCGGAGAGCACCGCTGCCAGCCCGCAGCGAGAGGCGATGCCTGGGCTGGGGGTGGTGGAGGTCTGCTGGGTCAGGGCAGCAGGGAGAGCTATGGCTGATGTTTCAGGGTGCCGGAGAAGGGCAGCCCCTGGATGGGGATCACCTCCAGCTTGGCCTCTACCTCCAGCACAGCACACGTGGCACTGGGACTTCATGCGTCAGCAGCCCGGCGTGGGGACGGGCACCATCCATGGGATGAAGGGACGGCGTGGGGATGGGCACCATCCATGGGATGAAGGGACGTGCAGTCTGCGTGCAGGCACAAAGCAGCTCCAGTTGAGTAGGGGGCAGTGGTGGCCACGGTCCTCCCGGCTCACCCGCAGCACCGGCAGCAGCTCACTTGCGGATGGGGTGGACGTAGTTGCGGGGGAAGAGGCCGACGCGCCCGTAGATCTTCCCCTGCCACCAGTTGGGGTCGGGGCAGTCCAGGACCTCGATGATGTCCCCACGGAGGAAGGGCAGCTGGGAGCCATCATGGGCTGAGAAGTCGAACTGGGCTTGCACGAATTTGGGCCTCCTCACCTGGAGGAAAGTCGAGGGCAGGGGTTGGCGGGGGGTGGAGAGGTGCCCCCGTTTGCCAGCCCCTCTGCACGGGGCTGCACTGCCTGAGTCCCCAGCTTGACAGGGATGCTGTGCCACCACATGGCGAGGACCAGCCTGGGCACAGGGAAGAGCCTGGGGTGGAGGGGAGCACCCCAGGGCACCGGGCTCCCTGTTCCTGCTGCCTGGGAGAGCTGAGATGGGTGCCCAGAGGACCCCTACACCTCGGAGGCAGCTGGCACCCCTCTCCTTCCCAGGTTCTTCCCAGGCCCCTTCGGATGCCAGAGTCACCCCCAGCCCAGCTTGCAGGGCCCAGTTTCGCCACCAACACAACCGCCACCCCAGGGCTCAACTTTGCTGGAGCTCACCCAGAGCTGGCTGTGCCCCATCCCAAGCTGGTTGGGCTCTGCCACCCACCCCGGGCATCATCCCTGACCCGAGGGATGGCGGCGTGGGCCTGGGGCGAGTTGCCGTGCCTTGCCCTGCCCTGCTGAGCTGTGCCGGTAGCTTTTCTCCACCCTGACGGCTTCCTCGCAGTGCTGCCTGTCTCGGGCTGTTGCACCCTCTCCTGCTCAATACCACCTCAAGACGAGCGGGATGTCCCTGTGCCCCTCTGCAGGGATGGAGCAGCTGGAGGGGAGCTGAGCCTCGAAGGGACTACTAACACAGGGGTCGGGGACCATATCCCCGGGATGCTTTGCCTGAGAATGATGGGGGAACCTGTGCTAGGAGGGTCTGGACCCCATCTCTGCTCGGAGCTGGGCCATTTGCTTTCCTCAGTTTTGTTCCTCTTTGACATTTCTCGGCCATTGCCAGCATCCCGTGGCCGGCAGGGAGGAGCAGGAAAAGTTCAGGCAGAAGGAAATCCCCATATCCCGGGAGCCGCAGCCCCGTGACACCTCCTCATGAGCACAGTCTGGGGTGAAGCGAGACCATGGCGGTGCTGCTGACCCATGGGTCTGTCCTGTGCCTCAGTTTCCGCATGGACCATAGCGGAGTGGTGGCAGCCCTGGTACCAGGAAAGTGATGGGGGATCCCAAAGGGGACCAGATATGGGCTCCCAGCCTGTCCCTGCTGCAGGCCATGGTGTCATCCTAAGTCCCAGCCCTGCATGTCCCCATATCCCCATCCCCTGATGGTACCTCCTGGGTCTGGTCCTCATCTCGGAGGAAGATCTGCTGCTTTTTGGCGATAGTGGTCGTCCTGTAGAAATCCACCAGCTCATTGAGGGAGTTGAACTTTTCCTCCCAGAGGAAATATTTGCCGTTCCTCTCCCTCAGCACCTTGAAGTGCTGGACGTGCTGCCCATAGCTGCAGGAGAAGGACAGACGTTACCCTGGCCCTGGGGTGCTGGCAGCACCCAAACCCCCTTCCGGCATCATGGACCAAGCCCAGGGGCTGCTTGCTGGGATGGTCAGGCTGTGCGGGATGCGGCTGCACCCGTGGGTCCCCCTACACCAATCCTGCCATGGCCCGGGGTGATGGTGGCACTGGGGTCCCTCGTAGCCCCGCTGAGACCTGGCACAGCTCATCCCACACGTAGCTGAAGCTCGGTGCCTGGCCCCGGCACAGAGGGATGCCCGTGGGCTTGGCGTTGGCAGTATGCCGGCCACATGCAGGGCAGGTGGCTTTGTCCGGGGAGCAAACAGGGGACACATCTGAGGAAAGTGTGGTGAGAGCTGCAGCTCTCAGCTCAATGTGTACTGGGAGGAGACTGCAAAGACTGGGCTCGGGCTCCCAACCCCGCCGTGGCCCCAGGAACCCCTGAGCCGCAGGAGGAGGGGCCAGGCAGGGCTTTCCCTCGCCAGCCCTGCATGCTGGCACCCCCTCGGTGTGTACCTGGGGGTGGCAGGTTGGGGTGCCCGAACCGCGGGGCTGGCATGGGGCTGCTGCGGTGACCCGCCGCTGCCAGGCCCCTGGGCAGGGGCAGGGACCCGGCCACGCTGGTGACGCATGGCAGAACACAGCTCCCTTTCATTATGGGTAAGAAACCTCCTTAAACGCTTAATTAGAGATTAGCAGCGTGAGAAAGTGCCTGACTGGCCTGGGGCTGGCTCCTGCTACCCTGGCCCCGGGCAGGGAAGGGGCAGCGATGGGGTGAGAGGCTCGGGGGCAGGCTCTGCCCGTTGGCACGCTGCCTTCATACAGCCCTGGCTGCCCATGCCGAAATCATCGGCCCCGCGGCCTTGGGATGCTGCGGGCCCTCCTCCCCGACCTCTGCCCATCCCGCCGCATTTCTGTCTGCATCCCACGGCCACTTACTTGACAGAGACGGAGAACTCCCCCGGGGAGCTCTCGCTGTCACGGATCAGGAAAGCTCCCAGGTGTTTGCGCTTGAGGAGCTGCTCCTCTGCCAGGTGCCGGGAGATCCTGCCCGCGTACCACCTGCGAGGGGCATCAGGCTCAGCCGCACGGGCACCCCTCGACACCCGGGTACACCCCAGTGCCACATCCCCACCCCGCAGGACGGAGGCACCGAGAGCCCCGATGCCGCCAGGAGCTGGGTCCCCGTTGGGCTCCACACAGGGCTGGGACCTCCCCCCCCCAGTGTTTTCTCCTTTCCTTTTTCATCCCCCATCCCAATTTACCACAGCACTCTCGCAGAGGGAGGGACCACGGGGTGCTGCGGATGCGTGCCCCCGTGCATCACCACCACCAGCCACGACCGCATCCTGTCACCCGGCTCGTCACATCACATGTCTCATCCCCCACTTTGCTGCCTGTCCTCCCATTCCCCACCACGTCCCATGGCTCCCCATGGAAACAACCCCACCAGGTGCTACGGGCGGGTTGCAGAGCAGAAAACCCTCCGTGCCAGGACGAAACCCTTCATGCCTGCATTGCCCGCAGCTGGTGGAACGAGGTGGTGGAGCAGAGTCCCCATCTCCTGTCCCTGCCAAGGCTGTGTCCATGTATTTGGGACCCCCAGGCCACAGACACCCTCTGCTACCTGTTAAAATTGCCCCGTGAATGATCAGCCAAGGACTTTAGCACAGAGCATCTCCAAGTGTCAGGCTTTCAGGTGCTGCATGGAAGAGGCTGTGTCTCGCCCATCCCGGCTCATTAACCGAAGCCGGAGAGGCAATGGGATCTGCCCCGGGCTGCCCTGAGCCCACGCGTTCCTGCTCCCCAGCCACAGCCCCGAGCAGGTTTTCCTATGGCATTTAAATGTGATTTACCAGGGGATAATGATACATAAAACACAGGTTAAAACAGGGATGGATTATGCTGGGCTTTAATAATATAGTAATAGGATTGTGTCTAATGCAGTCGTAATCCCATAACGCTTTGTTGTTCCCCAATTATCATTTATTTAGCGGGCAGCACAGTGTGAGGGATGAATTTCTGTGTGTTGGGGATGGGTGGGCACACTGCTGCCTCCCGTCCCCTCTGGCCGTGGTGGCAATGGCAGACTGACCCAGCAGGCAGACCCCATCGCTCTGTGACTCAGTTTCCCCATGTGTGGGACTACCCTGGGTCGTGGCAGACCTTCGGGTATTGGGATGCGCCATTGGGATCGCTGCCTGGGTGGTGGGAGAGGATGTCCTGGTGCTGGTGGGTGCTACCGGAGCGGGGCTTCGAGCCCCCCTTCCCCGTGCGGTGGGATGGTACTTACGGATGTGGCTTGACCTTGATGTAGTTTTTGGGGACGAAGCCCTCGCAGCCGTACAGCTCGGCCTTGTACCAGTTCTGGTCGTCTTCCATGTTGAGGATCTAAGGAGGGAGAGGAGCAGGGAGGCATCAGCCCACCTGCTGTCCCCCTGTGGGAGAGGGGCCGAGTGGGACCCCCACTGCTGCCCCAGACGCTATGTTCCCCACCGAAACCTGGGGAAAAGGGGACTCTGACAAAGGCGACATGGT